TGTGTGAGACGGCCACGGCCTGTGCGCGCGCGGCGACAAAGAATATCGAGGCAAGCTGGTTATGTGTTTGCTGCTTATCTCGGAGAGCAAGTGTTGGGACAGCAGCGCGCACGGGGTGCGCCCGGAGATACGGCGGTCTGTCCGCAGGCTTAGTGCGGAGCCAGACGGTGGTGCTGCGATGCAGCGGCGCGCAAGGATCCATTTCCAGCGAACAAAACGTGTGACAGTTTCTGTGACAGGTCCGGTGGCAGGTTATCATCTCTGGAGATGAATGCCCGGTGCAGCATCCACACGGACCGACCTATCGGCCCCCGCCGCACCCCAGGCCTTGGCCAGCCCGGGCCTCCGGAGGACTCTGAGGTACCATTTCATGGCGTACGACTAAAATAAAAACCGATTCACCCGATTAAACCCTGGGGTGATAGGCTAGAAAAACTTTACATTTAAGACGAGTTCAGCTTTAAAAACAGTCCATGCATGTGTAAAAGAAAATCTCGTCTGTAACTAGCTGAGGTTGGCGCCAGTGGTCTGAATACTTATGTATAGTGGTGTCTGTTTGAGCAGGCCAAAAGAAAAGAGAAATATTGTGTGAAACGTGCGATATGCATCGACCTCGAACCTCACCAATATTCCCACATTTGCATCACGATAAGCACAGAGGTGTGAGTATGAAAACTGGTGAAAACATATCCGATTATTGGCAGAAAGACAGTAATCCAGATTCTATTTCACATAGAGTCCCCATTCAAACAATGGGCACACGCTGCGAGCGCCTTCAAGGTCCCCCTTTGTAAAAGGCGTTCGAAGAAGTTTGATATCTCCAGTCTATCTTCCGCAAAACCCTGCTCCTGGTGCGCGACTACTGCAGAACTACACAAGTTTCACCCGGTTTAGCGAGGGCGTTTGCTTTTACGCGAAACTGTCACATCGCGCAGATCAATCAGGGGTGCTTTGAGGCAGAAGATGCTGCCGCCCGGCCCTGGACCGGGACTGTCCCCGGGCGAGGGGCAGCAACAACAACGTATCTGCTCAGAACATCTCCCGCTGTTATACCAGGACCTCGAGGACGGCGTGCGCGGCCTTTAGGGCCTACACCACCGCACCCCCTTCCGGGAACACGAGGACCTCATCGCCAGCGCTACCACCTGACCCACTACTGGGGTGTTGATCTGGGGCTGCCAGACAGGGACGATGATGGTGTTTGTTTCGATGAGTGACACCGGAGCGCCTGTAGCCTCCTCTGGTGCCGACCCGCGCGGCCGCAGAGTCTTGTGCGTCGCGGTGGAGGACGTGCGTGCCGACCGAAAGGACCGAGCGCGTCGAGGGGCCTGCAAAAGTCGGTGCGGCTGGGCTGGAGAGGCCAAGGAGAGTCCTTCTCGCCCCAAATCCCCCCAAACCAATGCGAACCAAATCCCAGCAGCAGCAGCAGTAGCAGCGGCAGCCGCGCGGCGCCATGTGGTTTCGTGCGCTTGCTGTTGTGGGACTCCCGCCCAGACCCCGCGCCCCCTCCCCCTCTTCCCCTCACCCCAACCCCCGGGAACCCGTAATTGATTCAATCGCTTTGAAAACACGCGAGGTTATCTTGGGGCGTGTCGCGGCGGGGCGGGGCGGGGCGGGGCGCTGCCTGTCCGGCGTAACAAGGCGGAAGGGTGAAAGGAGGGACACGTCAGTATTTGGACACTTTTGTAACTCTAGCCGCGGGGCCGGGTCGGAGGCAGGCGTAGCTAAAGGAAAATCTGCACCCCTCCGATCCGACCGAGCGAAAGAAGGATGTGCCTAGAAAACCTTCTCTCTACATCGTGGTATAAACTGACGTTATAAGTGCCTCTCTCTCCTCTCTCTATGTTCTACAGATTACCAGAGTACCGCGGTTGATAACTGGATAAATAAATTGAGTGTGCGACTTTTCAGCACACCAATGAGTGACGCAATCCACGTCACACCAGCATATCATTGGAATAAAACGAGACCTGTTAAATATATTGTATTTCGGGATACAAACCAAACCGCTCTCGCTCTCCCATCATCTTATAGTACTATCGCACTTCCGCCGACTCTGTCGTATTCGTTCGGGAGGAGAAGGGAGAGGGACAACAGCCCTGCTCGTCGTCGCCTCGGGTCCCACTTTGAGCGCAGCTCCGCAGCGGCGGGTTCAGAAACAAGTTCAAAACGACCGCGCTCGCGCCGGGGGTGGCGGGGCGGGGCTACAATATAACAAGGTCTCCGTCGCGACGGCCTGTCCAGGCACGGCACGGCCAGGTCTCTCGCCGTCTCTCTCACTCTTTGTGTCGAGTTTGCAAACGTCAGAGGCGCCGCACTGCGGAGTTTGGGCAACATCCCTCCCGGCTGTGCGCATTTTCTCTCTCTCTCTCTTCCTCCCCGAAGCTTCCGCCCTCTCCTCGCGTATACCTTTCTCTCCTGCGCCTGACACTCTCTTCCTCTCTATCTATGCCCCTGTCACTTAGCGCCACTCGCTCGCCGCGGCCCCGCGTTGCACACACACACACACACACACACACACACACACACACACACACACACACACAGTGATGGATGAGTGGAGGAATGAATGAACGGGTGACTGGACTGCTTTTAATGAATGAATGAGTAAATGGGTGAGTGGCGCCGCCTAGCGCCACGGCCCCGCTGACCCTTTGGACTCTAGCGCGCTCCACCAGGGCAGTGCCTCCTCCTCCTCCTCCTCCTCCAGGAAGCCAACACGGGCGTGTTGTGTCCACGTCATGAAGAGCGACATGCATAGCGCAATTAGCCATCAAGTGGCGGCAAGCCACACGTGACCGCACCGCGGCGTGGCGTGGCGTGGCGCGGCGCGGCGCCCGGCCCACAAGAGACGGCGGCGGCGCGGCCACGCCAACGGCGTCAAACACGGACACCCATTTGTCTGCGACACCCTGCTCTCCTCTATATGCGCGCCTCTATGGCTCTATGGCTGGCCCACGCTGGGCGCTGTAAGTAGACGCGTGTGTGTGTGTGTGTGTGGCGGCGCGCGCTAGTGTGGGCGTGTGTATGTATGCGCGTGTGGGTGCCGCCCGCTGGTCATCTCGCTTCTACTTTACTGGTACCGCCACTTTACAGGCTTTACAGAGCGCGGGCCTGGCTCACGCTATGCACGCGCGGCGCGCGGGGTCCTCGGCGCTACGCCCCGCCACGCCGGGCGCACGCGCCCCTATCCATCGCCATGAGGGTCCCCTTGGGTGAGGAAAGGGTTAATATGAGCGAAAACGAGCTCAGATTACATTATTGTCACTGCATTTTCAAGATTCGACTGTGTGGCCAGGCGGTAGGGTGGGAAAAGTCTGATGGTGCGAGTCGTGCGAGTGAGTGGATAGGTATTCGCGCGACGGGGGAGACAGACAGACAGAGAGAGAGAGAGAGAGAGAGAGAGAGAGAGAGAGAGAGAGACGGGGGGGGGGGACTGTACAGTTTAGTCCCATAATTACGGGGGAAATGTGTCGTCCGGTGTGTCAACACGTTTAGGGTCCATTCCCTATATTCTGGCAGAGCGGCTACGCTTTGCTTTCCGGCCGTCTTTGTTAGGCTCATAAACACCGTGGTCGAAGGGACGATACCCGAAAGTTAGAGTGGCCACCTCTCCGAGCCGAGCCTGGGCGTGAGCATTGTCACGGAGAGAGGAGACCCACGCAGGTCGGAAAGACGGGTGGACACTCTACATCGGCAGGTCAACCCTTATAACGCACCGGAACACACCCTGCTGATGAGTTACACAATGACTCAATGGCATTGTCTCGAAAGCCTTTGCTTGCCGCTCTGCCAGAATATAGGGAATGGACCCTACACGTATTCGTCGTCGGTAGTGTCGACGCGGGGCGCTCATTCGGCGCCGCGGGACTGCGCGTTGGCGGATACGACATTGTAAAACACCCGTCGAGATGGGCGCGCCGCGCCGGGAAGAGAGAGGGGAGGGGCGTTTAGCCGGGCCGGCCGTACCGCCGCGACTCTGAGACATCCGCGCCGCGCTCCGTCGCGCTCGCGCAGAGATCTATGGTTGTTTTCGGACGCCGCCGCGCCGCCCACGGGCGCGCTGCGGTCGTCGCGCCGCCATGCGACGACGCCCTCGGCAGCAGCTGGTGACACCGACTGACTGAAGGATGGGGTGTCATTGGAATTACCTCTCCTTACTGCCACTTCTCCCCCCCCCCTTCTCGCCACCACTGTCCATAAGTACCCAGTGTGTACCTCTCTGCTTGCTCCGCAGTGGCGTAGCTAAGGATTCTCTGCGGGAGACACAGGGGGTCGGTGGGGTGGGAGCTTATCGTCTGGCTTCGCCGCTGCGCTGTGCGGGGGCCTAGGTGTGAGCGACACGCCACGGGCTGCCCGGCATCATCATTTTCATGGCGATGACTCCACACTCGGCGATGGTGATCGTAAAAACCCGGCCGCCGGAGAAGCTTTGGAATTCATTAGACAGTCAACCTTCGGCAGCTGCTGTTGCTGGTCTGCGCGCTCTAGCTGCCTGTGGTAGGTAAGACAGCGGGCGGTAGAGGGGCACAAGCGCTGCTCAAGCGTTTAAAAAACGTAATGGAACTGACATTTTAAAAGCAATGTTAAATAATATTTATTGGGATGATTCTGCAGCTCTGGAAGTCTTAGCTGTCTCAAGAAAACTAATACTCTTGCTTTTTATAATTTTACTTGAAGTATTTTTCACTCTTTTCATATTTTGTTCTTTTAAAATTCTAGTGTTTCCATTTTTTTCCATCAAATTTTTAATGTTGGCCTGTTTTTCTTTTTATGAATTCTCCAGAAATATCATGTCAACTTTGTGTAAGTCATTTAAGCAATTCATTCTGTGTTTTATATCTTTCTTTCTGTTTTTTTTTCTTATTTTCTTTCTTTCTTTCTTTCTTTCTTTCTTTCTTTCTTTCTTTCTTTCTTTCTTTCTTTGAGCTTTCGTTTTTCTATGCGTTCGCAGTTTGAACCATTTCTCAAAAGTAAAAGGTGAAGGATAAGTCAAGGAATTATGTTTAAAAATGGGTTTATTTTACCTCCCACTCCGCCTCCGACTCGCGACATCAACAACATTCACAATAAAATTCTTTTAAATATTTACAATAAATCATATACATATCTTTGGCGAAAACGTTTAATATCCAAAACGTTTAGAAACAAATGCATCATGAAAGGAAAAATGCACAATAAAACTAATCAAGTACCCTGACGTATTGATTGAGGTGATCACTCAGACTAACTGAACATTTAGGAAAAGTACATAGGACATAAATAAACATACAGAGCGCCAAATTATTGATAAATGAAGACATAAAAACAATAAAAGATGCAACTGTCATATCAAATTCGTACACTACATTTGTTCACCCTAATTCCAACAAAACAGTTCAGCGATTGACTATACTTTTAACTTACAACGAGATCATAATAAAAATTTACCACACCTACTCCTACATTGTCTAAATGCTCTGAATCTCACTACAAATGTCACTTACTCAATAACAAATTTTCACAGTTCGAGATCGACTGAGAGAAAGAAACACTCTTCACTGCCGTCACACAGTTCTTGCAGTTCTCCCGGTCACTACACGCGCGCACACTCACACTTTTGCGAACAGCAGGGCTGCCCGGATCACAGACAGAAGGAATTTGGACGGAGGCCGGTCCATGTCGGCACCCAGGTCAGCGCATCGCGGGGGGCGACGCGGAGGGCGCAGTGGGCGACGCTGCTAGGTACTGGGGGTGGTGGTGGTGCGCGGGCACGCCGGGGTAGGGCGGTGACCTGGCTTGCTGCTGCTGGAGCTGCTGCTGAAACAGTTGCTGCTGCAGCAGGAGGCTACCCCTCCAGTCGGGGAAGCCAGGGGACGACGGAGCGCTGGGGGCCGAGCCGGGGGCGGCTGACCTCATCGGGGAGGCGGCCAGCATGGAGAAGAGGTGGTGTTGCTGCTGCAGGTACGGGTGCGGCGCACCGCCCTGGAGGCCGAGGGGAAGTCCGCCGACGCCACCGAGGCCGCCGGGGATGCCGCCCGGGTACACGAACGGGAGGAGGCCGAGGCCGGCGCGCCTGCGGCTGCGGGACGGCGGCACGCGGCGGCGCAGCTTGCCGGTGGATCCCCCGATGAACACGTCGTCGGCGCTGGGGTCCAGCATCCAGTAGTTTCCCTTGCCGGGGTCGTCGTAGTGGCGGGGCACCTTGACGAAGCACTTGTTGAGCGACAGGTTGTGGCGGATAGAGTTCTGCCAGCCCTGCTTGTTGTCACGGTAGTAGGGGAAGTGCTTCATGATATACTCGTAGATGCCGTTGAGGGTGAGGCGCTTCTCGGGCGAGTTGCGGATGGCCAACATGATCATGGCGTTGTACGAGTAGGTGGGCTTCTCGGGCTTCTTGCTGCCGGCCTTGTCGGCGCCCTCCTCGGAGCTCTTGTCTTCGGTCTGCTCGCCGGTCACGTCCAACTCGGACTCGCAGTCGCTGGGGGGCGGCGAGCTGGCACCGCTGGCCGCGGAGCTCGGCGCGGGGCTGGGCGTCGTCGGGGCGTCGGACGGCGCGGTGTCGTCGGCGTCCTCGTCCTGGCCGAGCAGGGCGCGGATGCTGAACTTGAGCGGCACCTTGCTGTGGGCCGGCGCGGCCTGGGGCGCGGCGCTCTCTTCGCTCACCATGGTGCACATCACGTCACAGAACACAGACACAACACGGGACACGTCACTGAACTGGCGGGCACGGTGTTGGACCGTCCGCCTCGAAGCTTGGCTGCTGACTGACCTCCCGCTCCAACGGCAACCTCCTCCCCCAGCGGCCGGTTCCTCCTCAGGACGACCGTCACGCCGCTGGCGGCCGTCTTGCCAAGCGAGGCCTCGCCCAATCGCGGCCTCCGCTCGTGCGTCGGTGGTGGTGGGAGGCCCGGCCTGCAACGCCTTCGTCGCCCCCCACCACACGGCTGCCTCCACCTCCCCATCGCCGCGGCCGCGACGCCTCCCACTCTCCTCCCCGCGAAGTGGAGTATAGAAACATTTCAATTCAATCTGAGCCGAGCGAAGCCGAGCGCAGCGAGCTCCGTGCAAATAATACCGGCCGAGGGGTGGGAGGGTGCGGTGGTGGGGGTGGTGGCCTATTTATAAAATATTGTACCCCGCATTAGCCATAGCCGAGGGGTTTGAGGAGCGGGGTGGTGGGGAGGGTGCAGGGCCGGGTGCATGCTGCTGCTGCTTTGTTTTTCGGCCGGTCGCCTTGTGGTTTAGATTCGTTATTCATGTGCGCGTCGCTCACCCTTTCCCTCCCCCTTCCCCTTCCCCTCCCCCGGGCTGTAACAAGTATGGCAACCGTGTGATTTAAACGCAACCCCCACCGTAAATCCGCCTCGTTTATACGTGGAGAGTTACAGGATGCTGCGTCGCAGCAAAAAAAAAAAAAAAAAGAGAGAGACAAAACTTGAATGCGCCAGGCCAGCATCCAGCAGTTTCACGTAGAAAGCCCTTAAGTTTTTCTTAACGCGACTCGTTTTATGTACAAAGGGGTGGAGCACAGCATTCTTTACCTGCAGAAGATGAAGAGGCGCGAGCAATAAAAAAGAACACTGACTGAGGGTTTTTTCCAGTAGAGGGAAAAGAGGGGGGAAAACGTATATTTTTTCTCTCACTCGTTTGCTAAGTATACACTCGTTTTCTGTCGACAGATTTTTCCCGATTCGCCGGGGAGGGTGCAACAACCTCTGGGCCGAATGGAGCGGGCGGCAACATTCGAGGAAGAGGGCGTCAATAAGTCCACAGACAGGCCATCGGCTGCCATCGGCTCGCAGCCCTGCTGTGTTGACAGCCCGTCATCATACCCGGACCCACGGTCAAGGTGCGGTAGGCTACTACTTCTGCTAGCATTTTTTCTCTTTTTATTTTTTTAACGTTCGTAAAAATCTTGGCACTTTTCTGAACATTGACAAATTCCTTCTGCTTTTTTGGCGGTGGGATAAAAGAATGAAAAATCACCGTTTGGGTTTGGGGATGGTGGTTTGCAGGCCCCTGTGGCGGCGCTGCAGCGGCGGCGGCGCCTGCGCAACCATTACACGAGCCGTTACCCTAAAAGCGTTCTAATCAAAGTGGCTCCATCGGTAGAGATCGGATCAGCCCGAGCCGGGCACACCTGCGAGAAGGGGGACAAAGGGGTGAGGGGATGGAGAAAGGGGGCTGGGAGCAAGGGGGAGCAAGGGAGAGGGAGGGGGGAGAGCCCCGCAGGGTGCCCCCGGGCTGACACCACTCCACCACTCCATGGGGACAACACCTTGTCAGCCGTGGATTAGCTCTGACGAGAGAGTATCTTTGTGTCCCAGACTCTCAGGTGCGAGAGAATCGGCTCGGGAAAACCTCTCGGCGGTCGGGCGGTGTGTTCCATGGAAGCCCGTCCGGGGCACGGGTCTTGCTTCATGACCCAGGGGTCGTTGGCGCTTAGCTCGCTCGCCAGGCAGAGCTTCAAAAAATCCACCGTCGTTTCCCGGGGGTCTATTCAGCGCTGACAATGGGGAGGTGATTGAAGGTTTGTAACGAAATAAGGCTACTGCGGGGGAAAGGAGCAGGGCTCAGGGCAACGACCGCCCGCTCTTCAATGGAAGAAGAGTTCAGCGCCGATTCGGCCAGGGAGTTCGCAGAGAGGTAAAATCGGCTAAAATTATCGATTCCAAGACAGGGTAATGCAAGACTTGAGGTACGTATGGCTTTTGGTGCGAATGACATGACGCTGCTCATAAGCGGCAGGGTTGCGAATATACAACTTTATATTAGATGGATGGGGCGATGGAGGGATTATTTGATGTTGATGAAAACGCAAATTGTCATGATGACAGCGGAACAGAAAGCCGAACTGAGATACTATCAGCCCGACCAGGCGATCTCGTGTGTGAGTGAGTGTGTGTGTGTGTTTTAGAGAGAGAAAGAGCAGGGTGTATTCGGAGGGAGTGGGACGGAGACAGCAGATGAGGATGCGAGGTTAGGGGGAGGAGCTGCTGCATCTCAGGGAGCCGCAGAATGTGTCGGCATCTGACTTCTGCGCGATTTCGTCTTCATTTATTTTCGACGTTGGTCCCCCTTTTGTCCGGCCAGCCGCCAGCAGGCACCGGGGGCGGGGTTCGGGGTTGTGGGACAGCGGTGGGGGCGGGGCCGAGCTAGCTGGCGGCGTATCGCCACACACAAACGCGCAGACGACAAGCTTGTTGGATGCAGCATGCTTGTGTTTTCTTTTCAACTTGGAAAAAAGAGAAAAAAAGTTCCATTCCCCCTGCGGCCGTGGCGTACGAAAGGTGCCAAAATAAACCCGCGCGCGCTGTAAAGCCCGGTGGAACGCATGCGTCAACCCGAGGCCGTGTTACGGAGAGGATAGTGGCTGATAGCTCAGCTGCTCAGTAGTTCACGAAGCCCCTTCAACTTCTAATAAAGTTATAACGACTGATTGTCCATAAATGGAGCCACCCGTTCAGGCCATCCTCTGCCTACAGCTACACTGGAAACGCAAGTGTGTGGATGTCGCACACTTGTAGGTGTGTGAAAATCCATTCGTACACTGAGGGTGGTAAATGTGTGAATTTTCGAGGAAAAATTCACACCTTTCCCCCTCCAAGTGTTCGAATGGATATTCACACACCTACAAGTGTGCGACATTCACACACTTGCGTTTCCAGTGTATCGAAATAACATGCCAACTACCCGCCGGAATTCAACGTGACGTTTTCCTAGGTTGGCCTAGCAGCAGCGGAGTATGCTATTGTTATTCACCCATTACTGGTAAATAATGCGAAACAACGCGACGTCGCCGAGCTGGAGCCGCACTGATGTTTCAATTAGAGCCCACTGATTGCCTGTTCGACTCCGACCACTTGACGTGGCTGCCGTCGACCCCACCCCCTGCCCCTCCTGTCCCCCGCCCCTTTGGGCCGAGCTCCGGGGCCGCCGACACACGGGACTGCATGCTGGGCTGAGGCCGATCTAAGGATTCGTCACCGCAGCTCTTCGCCATCAATAATGGAAAAGTCTGTGAGGGCGGGGCGGGGCGGGGCGGACAACATGATATGCGTCTCCCCCCGTGACAACATTATAGGTCTGCCGCACATGGAGCCCCAAAAGCCCGGTAGACACACGGACCGGCGATACGTCGCCGCCGCGCCGTCGTCGTCTTGGTTGCCGCCGTTGTCGTCCTCTCGGGAGGCGGATACTTTTGGGGGGACGGTGTACGCTGGTACACTACAAACACAGTTGGCTCACATCTCATTGTCGGTCTATGTGGCGGTTTTGGTTGGCACACAAATTTGGCGGACTTTGGGAAGTTTGAGAAGTCATAAAAGTTCTTAAAATTTGGTGAATGTCATGGAAAAGTCATGAAAAATGCCAGGTGCCAAAAATGTGGTAACCCCCCCCCCCCTCTCTCTCTCTCTTTCTCCCTCTCTCTCTTTCTCCTCTCTCTCTCTTTCTCCCTCCCTCCCTCCCTCTCTCTCTCTCTCACTCTCTCCCTCTCTCTCTTTCTCCGTCTCTCTCTCTTTCTCCCTCCCTCCCTCCCTCTCTCTCTCTCTCACTCTCTCTCTCACTCTCTCTCTCTCTCCCTCTCTCTTTCTCCCTCTCTCTCTCTCTCCCTCTCCCTCTCTCTCTCGTCATCATGCTGAGCCGTGACATTATGCTAGGGAAGTGCTCGCGCGCGCGGGCTTGTGTGTGTGGTAGTACTAAGAACGCTGACAGCATTCGTCAAATCCATCACACAACACAACACATATCTGTGCGTTCGATAGGTCTTTTTAATCGCCAAATGAATGCGTAGAGGTTCGTGGAAGCTAGACACCCGGCGGTGGAGGCGTCCGCCACTAGCCGCGGCTGATGGTGTGTGTATGCCGCGGGGAAAACTGCGCCTTCTGGTTTTGAGGCCGCCTCGCTTGACACCTTCACGAGGGGGAGCTTTTGAGGGACCGGCACGAAGCGCGGTTCGCGCGCTCCCAGCCGGCCCCTCGCAGCACCCCCTCCCCAGTCTTTTGATTGGCTTCTCTCGGTGTCGGCGGGGCGGGGCGAAGGGGTGTGTCCGGAGGGGGAGGACACCTGGGGGACCAGGACGAAGAAGAGGAGGAGGACGACGCTATTGTCGTCTACAATGATGCTATGGCCTCGGTGCTAATCGCCACCGCTGGCCGCGCGTGCAGCCGCCAGATGCAATGCAAGAAAAGAGTGCAGCACACTGAATTGTGCGCAGTGTGCGAGAACGTATCGCTGTCTCAGTTTGTGTGGGTGCGAGAGAGACGGAAGAAGGGGTTATTGTAAGTTATAACGCGATTACATTAGCGCCCTGCTGCTGTCGCAGGGCAGCATCCACTGTGCGATTTTTAGAGCGGCAGCAGCAGCTTATAGGCCAGTGGCCGCAACGGCTGGCATAGGCTATCTCAGATTATAGTAGTGGTAATAATAACAGTAATCAGAGATTTCTCGTCGCGAATTTGTGTGGGGAAGTGCTGGACAGGCGTGGGGGTGGCTGTGCAGTGGGGGAGGGGGGTGGGGGGCAGAGTCGATCAAGTGTCATGATGGACTCACTCTAGTGGACGAGCACGCTGCAGCACCTCGGGAAGCCCCGGCAGTGTGCACGTGTGTGTGTGCTGCGGGGGGAGTGTAGCAAGTGTGTGAGTGAGTTTGCTTTGTATTTGGAGAGATAGCTCTGCGGCACGGGTTGTCCCTCACCCCTCCGCCCGCGCCGCTCTCTGACCGCGGGGCACGCGCTGCACGCCGGGGGGCCGAGGCCGAGGAGATAAGCGCGTTCGTGTGCTCCTCAAATTCGACCATTATTTCGGGAATTTGTAG